TCTCTGGAATCGTTCCTAAATAGCTTTTCTGCGCCTTTGCTTGTTTTCTTCTTCACCCTAGTTGTATTTAGTCAATGAGATCGACGTAAACTGTTGGGAAAAGATGAGGAATGAGCTGCAGGACACCGTCACTGAGCTGTCACCATGTCTCAAATCTGCTCCTCAGGTGAGCAGGTTACTGAAGGAAGATATTTCCGAGCACGTTTTTACATGACAGCGCACGATAAAAGCTTATTTATAGGTCTTGAATTACCTGTACATCCCCTTTATTGGACAGACGTACGGAATTCAGTTTTTTCCCAGCGAGATCCGTAAAAAGATTTTAAGTTCTCCGAGTTTTTGACTGCTTTCGGCAGCGTTGACTGCTTTCTCCTTCCTCAGAGCCTGAGTAATTTGCTTCTCTTTGTAAATAAAACATGAAAAGGTTAGTCTCATTTTGGAAGCCAAAAAAAACCCCACTCATGCTCAGAACTGTGAAGTCTTTAGCTGAAGCGAATTCCGTTATACTCTTAGCCAGAGAATTTCCATTTTAAATCCTGAAAACTGCAAATTTCCTCCCCGTTTTGCCTCGCCTTTTGGCCACCGAAGGTTGGAGAAGACCTTGAAGATCATCGAGTCCACCTGAAGACTTGATCTGGGGCTGGTTGTTGGTAACAACGGGGTCATCTAAGTTCCTCATTTTGACAGAGATGATGGAGCCTTGTTCTGCCCGGGGATTCCCCCCGAGCTCCAGGCAGCAGCTCCTTCTCCTTTTCTCCTTGAAGAAACTTGGAAAAGTCTCAGGCTCATCCGAATGCGGAGACGCGCGCGTGTGCCTCCTTCATCTCAAATTTCTTCTCCAGACGGGAAAACCTGGCTCTGAATAATAAGGTGGAGCGCGGAGAGCCCCGTCGCTGGCGAAGGATTCGCGCCGTGCGCGCGGTTCGTTAGCAGTAAGGGCGTCGTCGTTAATCCCTCCGACATCAAACGCTCTGCCGTCGTTTTTAATTCTGCCGAGGTTTCGGTGAGCCCGCTTTGTGCCTTCAGAAACCGCGAGGAGCTTGCCCTTGCTTGACTTCAGGCCGAAGAAATACCGAGCTATCCCTGAAGCGAACTGGAGAAGACTTAATTTTTTATTTTATTTTATTTATTCAAGAGTTTGGGTTTTCTCCTTTTGCGTATTGGACTATTCCCTCCGCTGAGGAGGGGAGTGTAACCAACTAAAAGCGAATTAACTGTGTTATTCTAAATTCTCTTTTCCTTGTGCAATCAATCTTGGAGTTTTCCGAGGGAGCAACGTAAAACTTGCAAGACTAATAATCATAATTATTGTGAATAATGAATCCCGGGCTGTTATTACACAATGAAAATACACCCTCCCGTGCTGTGTCGTACTATTTAATTATTTAAAGTGCCCTGACAATTAGAAACTTAATTTAAGTCTATCTTGTTACATGACGAGGAGCTGTAACCCCAGCAGCTTGCTTGCTTTTATTTTTATTTATCATTACAGTTCCAAACAAGATTGCGTTTAATATTTCAAAAGGAAGAATTCTCTCTCCAATTTTTCTGCTCTTTTATTTCAAAGCCTCATCCAGGAGAAAAAAGCGAGCGAGCAACATTTCAAACCCAGGCTGCAAGGAACAGAGGATTGTGTTCTTAAAATTAAAAAAAACCAACTTAACTCTAGTCAAATCTGAATTATCTCTTAATATTTGTCAAAGTTGAGAAGACGCAGTTGTCCCAGGTATCTCGGCAGCCCCATCTCTCTCCGTTTTTTGGCGACAAAATTAAGTTCTGACTAAAATACTGAAATATTTTCCCCTTTCAGTCCCCCCACCCCGTATAAAATCCGCGTGGGCGGCTCGAAATCGCACCCAAACAGATGGAAAATCGCAGGGATGGAAGAGAGAGAAGGGCAGCGAGGCAGCGATTTTTAAAACGGGCCCGTAACTGCCACTATTATCTATAATTCTTTTTACGGCCAAGTAGATAACGTTACAACTATTAGTATCGCCGCTCGCCGCTATAAATATCACGCTTGTTGTCTCGGAGTAACTGCTTTTCTAATGGGGCCCGGTGAGTTTCGTTAAGGTGTAGATGAATTCTGCTGCTTTCTGCCCTTTTATCTCCAAATTCAATATCCTGGGGACAAAAAAAAAATCAAAAAACTTCCCTTAAGAAACTCCGGAATTCTCTCAGTGATAACGGTCGCGGAGTTAACGCTCAACCCATGCGAGCGCTCTTTTTGTAGAGAATTTTTCGCAAAGGTGGGGCACTAAAATCAAATTATTTTTTTCCCCCACCCCATGGCAGCACGTTGAGCTTTCTTAATGGGCTTTTTCTAGATTGGTGCTGATTCTCTCAGGGTGGGAATCCTCTTAAGTACAATTTTAACTCGTTTGGTTACTGATTTTAATTCAGAGCCTGCTTTCCTGTAGACTCGCATCTTGGTTGGAGTCCTAAGCTCTCGAGAGATGGGTTAGGATTGGCCAAAGTGCCGTCAAGGGTGGAAAATCCAAGCCGGTGGGATGAACGTGAATTTTTCCTTCCTTAAAAATTGACGTTAAAAACAGCAAACGGCCAAATTTGCGATTTTGTGCAGGGATTTCAATCTAAGCTTCACTTCTTTGGGTTTAGGCGTTAAGAGCTTCTACCATTTTTGTGTCTGGCCGTTCCGGCGGTGAATGGAAAATGAAATTTTGCCTTGAATCTCTGCGTAGGACCAGGCAGGGTCTGTGCTTCAGTCTGGCCTCAGCCGTAATTTCTCTTCTCAAACTCATTGGACCCTGCAGGGCGAGTTAACGACGAGACGCCCTTCAATGTTTTGCCTCTCTCGTGTCCGTCGCCATCCGAGTCCTGAGTTTTCCAGCTCCTGGATGATTTTGCTTCTTCACTAGTTTTCGACTTGGATGCGGCAGCATTTCTTCCAAGAAAACGCTGGACCAGGTAGGAAATTGGAAGCGACTGAACCGATGGAATTCCTACATCAGCGAAGTAGTCGTGACGCCTGGGCAAGATGGAAAAAGACCTCTTAGTCTCTCTTGATATTTTTCTTTCTCGAAGACCTGAGCGTTTCACTTTACTCGCTTTATTCACCTTGCTCGCTTTATTTACGCGTTGATTTCTGTGTCGAGTGATGTGAGGGAGGAGTTTTTTCCCTTCCGTCGCCTGCCTGAGGAACGACGTGATTCAGGCCCGTGAAAAATGCGATGAAAAATAAAAATTTCGTCGATAGGAGCAGGGTAAGAGAGGTGGTAGGTGTTGTGTGCCAAGAAGTAGGTGCCTAAGGAATAGAAACTACGGACAGAAAATAGCGAGCAGTACCTCATTTAGCCGCGTTGAGTGTTTTGTTGCTTCACTTTGCTTGGGTTTCTTAAGTTTGGAGGAATAATTAAGTTTTTCAAATCATTTTATCGCCACGGAGGTCCCTGTTTTGCTGTGCAGCAGCAAAATTTTAACTCCTGAACTGGGTTTGGCTCCAACCCTCGAGTTCCGCCCGTCTCTGTTGATGGTAGTCGATCCTGCACGGGGCAGACAACGAAGTTTTACGCTCGCTTTGCCCAGCGGTCGACGCTTCTTCGCCAGAAAAGACACGAGGAGTTTAATATCAACCCCGTCGGGCGCAAATCAGAGCCTGTCAGGCTCCGATGAAGACGGTTTAACCAGCGGTGGATTGATCTTGGGGAGTTGTCTGCGAGATTGAGGGATTTCAGCCGCCACTCGCCGAGATAATTTCGGGTTATGTGTCTCTCTATATTGTACCGTGTACATTGGGCTGTTCGCTGCCGGCAACAATCAAACGAAATTGCTTTTGGTGGGGAGAGCTCGACGGAGTTTCCCGAAAGCTGGAGCGAAACACCTTTAGTGGACCGGAGCGTTCATCCCCGTCGTGCTGCTCTTTTTTTTCTCTGCTATCATCACCGCTGGCATCGCACGTAGCATCCCCCAAGGGTGCGGCTCCACCTCCGGATTTCGGATGTTTATTCCACATGTGAGTAGAGTAGCTCTTCGGGCTCGGCGTTAAGTAGGTGTCTTCATTTTGCGACGCCCGCGTATCCGAAGTCACCTCGTTAGGAGACAACGATGAGCTTAGAATCCCCAAGTCAACATCTAGGCTAGACCAGACACCCAAACCTCCTCGCTCTGGAGCGCGAAGCGAAAGAATCGCGTCGTCGGAACAGAAATATACACGGAATTAATCGTTCGGCCTCGTTTTTGCACATTATTTAGCTCAGCAGCCCGTGACTGAGGGTGCTAAACGCAATCTCGGCGCAAATAACGGCCAAGAAGAGCTCAGAGTGTGGCTTAATGTTATTTTTTTTCTCTCGACGCGTCGTTACTGTGGAAATTCTGGGAAATTCTTAAATTCCCTCGGGGCTTTGGCAGTACGTGAGAGGTAATATTTGTTCTTAACAATGGCGGTGTTAACGGCTTTTGAGAATAATTTAGGGGTAACGAAGAAAATTCTACGCTGGGAGTAGGTGATTGTCACTCTTTTTACGTGAAGCTGCTCTTCATAAACTCTTTAGTTAACGATCTCACAGTAAATTAACGCTACTAATACAATTTGCAGCACAGGGAGTGACCCAAAAAGATGCGCAGTAACGGAAAATAGAGCAAGGTGCGTCTCGAAGCACCCTGGGTGGTTTCTGCTCTTCCTAATAGGCTTCGAGTGGGTGGTTATTGCTTGTTTGTGAGGTTAAAGAAACATTTTGGCTGCTTGGGGCACGCGAGATCAACCCAGCAGCGTAGGAGCGTGTCGTACCGGACGAGAGTTTCCAGGTGTCGGGAGGATACTCAAGTTCTGTGCGTTCGCTTTCAGAACGATGGTGTATTTTAAGGTGTGATTTTACCTTAGGTTTTTTTGTTTCTTTTTCTTTCCTCCCCCCCCATCCCCGTTTTTCACGCTTCCTCCGTGCCACCTCGGCCCCGCGACGCCTCAGCCGTGGCTTCCACGGCGCCTCCCGCCACCCTCATGTCGCCGGCCTCTCTGACTGCCTCCTCTCCTTCCCCTCCAGCTGTCCCAAGTGCCAGTGTCCTCCCCTCTGCCCCCCGAGATGTGGTCCCTGTCTTGGTCTCCAGCCGATTTGTCCGGCTCAGCTGGCGCCCGCCCGCGGAAGCCCGAGGCAGCGTCCAGACGTACACGGTCTTCTTCGCCAGGGATGGAGTCAACAGGTAGGCGGTGACATCGCGGCTCTCTTCTTCCACGGGTGGGATTGTCCCGAGCGGGCTTGAGGTCTTCGGAAGGATCTCGCAACCGGTTCTCAACCTTGGCTGCGTCTCCCTGGGGTAAGTGTGACACTAGAAATGCTTTTTAAATAATATATTTTTGTGGACAGCACGGCAACGTTTGTCTAAGAGCGTTGACGGCCACGTCTGCGGATCTTCCCTCTTCCAGCTCCTACTTGACCGTCTCAACGTGAAGTATCGTCAGCTCCGGGTTTTGCCTTTCGTTTTCCTCTTTTACCTTTCACCTTCTCTTCCCCGCTGGCAGAGGAGAATTAATTCAGCCCTAATTAACCGGCGAGGACGACCGCTTTTAAGAGCAGCTCAGGCGGCGTCAAGGCTTTGAGGGCAACCAGGGAGCAGGGTAGACTTGATGGCCCTAGATGAACGGTTGGACTCGATGCCCTTAAAGGTCTTTTCCAACCAGAATGATTCTATAAATGAGGGGTTTTTTGATGGTTGTAGACGTTGGGACCTGCTGCGAGAGGTTAGAGACGTGCAGCCAGCTGGTCCGGGTGAAGACGCGACACCCAAAGCGCTGGGGCTGAGAGTGTGAAAATCACTTGTTCCTCCCTAAAAGAAAGCACTCAAATTGGAGTTGGCGTTTCGGAAAGCCGGCGGCTGGAGGCGAGCGCCTTCTGCGACAGGGTGTCACTCCCTTGTGGGAGAAACGGCGGCGGAGGGGAGAGTTTGTGGCAAAACCAGAGGGGAGGGCGCCAGGTTTTTCTTGGGTTTATGTCACAGCTCAGACAATTTTCCGCTAATTCCTCCGTGAGGAGAGAGGCGAGACGGCAGAGGAGCGAGACGGCCGGCGTGTGTGAAACGAGAACGACACCTCGCTGGGGTGGCGAGGAGAAAATACTCGTCTTTTTATTTCAAGCCTTTAACTGGCGGTGGAAAAAAAAGATGTCAAAAGGGTTCCCTCGCGTTTCGAAATAATTTTTCATCCAGAATGGATGCGGCTCAAAGCCCTGAGTACCAGAAAGGTGCCTTAGTCCCCAAGTAGCTTCTGCGAAAGACTCGGCTCTGTGTTAAAACAACAAATAAAAAATAAAATAAAAAAATCCCATCGTAGAGACTCACGATAGCACCAGCGGAGTGTCTTGCAAACTTGCAGACGGACCGCGAGGCAAACTTAGCGGGGTTTTCCTTCGAGGAAAAAGCTCGGGATTGTTTATTGTTTACGCGATCTTTCTCCAAAAAGAGCTCCTTGCAGAAAAAAAAAATTAAAAAATAATGGATTTGACATTAACCCCGGGGACGTGAAGGCGCTGTCAGAGAAATTACTGCGAGTCGGGAGGAAGGCGACCGCCCGCCCGCAAAAAACGAGTCGAGTCCTTCCCGTCTTTTGAACTCGTAAGTGGGATTTATTTCTTTTATTTTTTGTTCGGCTCAGCCCTGTCAAAGATCGCCCGCGCTCGGCGCAGTTGAGCTGAAAGTTTGGGTTTGGAAGAGTCTTTTTATTTGCTGATAATAGCCCCGCTGGTGATGAGCAGAAATAGAGGCTGGCTGAAAAAAACAACTTTTTTTATACTAATGCGACCCAAAAAGATGAAAAATGTGGCGTTTTTGCTGTTCTTGCTCGTTTTACCGGTGGAAGCTCTTAGCGACGGGGCGTGCCGCGAGGGCGGAGGCGCGGCTCCGGCGTCTCTTGTGTCCCCGTAAAAGTTAAAACTGGATTTATAAATATATTTTGGTATTTCTGCGGTTGCGTTTTAGGCACCGCGGAGCGGGAGACGTTTGATTTTGTTGATTCGCTCGCTCTCAAGCCGGGAAAATCTCCTCAAACGTAATCTCGAGACATTTTTAATTACTTGTGCGTGGTTTTAAGTGAATTCTGCCTTGCTGGTGAGGATTCCCCATAAAAAATTTGCTCTATTTATTTATAAATCAAGAGAAATCTTTATCTGTCTCTCTATATATTTTTAATATTTCAGACGAGACGCAAAGCCCCAAAATACTTGATGGTTTTTAGTTTGGAACGTCGTGATTTGTAGCTCTCGTTTTTAAACTGACTCTTAGCAACCGTTTTCCCCGGTAAATGGAATTAAATTCTCTGATTGTACGGGGAAAAGAAAAAATAAAGAAAATAATAAACTCTTGGTTGAGCATCTTGCAGGCTGAAGTGAGTCGAGGGGCAGCTAAATTGAATTAAAAAACCTTCTAATTGATTAAAAGCGATCCAGAGTGTTCTAAGATATCCCAGGGGATTTGTTCACCGTAGGTTCGAGGTTTGGTTATTCCAGTCGAGGACTTGACGTGGGTTTTGCAGGAAGGAAAAAAAGGAAAAGAAGAACCCGAGGCAGTAGAATTCCGTCCGGTTTAAACTGAGCGGCGTCCGTTTCGCGGCAAGGAGCGCTGACACGACGCGTCTTCCTCGAAGGAAGGTGTTTGAAACATCATAAAAGCATTTGTTACCCACCTAAGAGAAGGATGGCGGCTGTAATTATATTATTTATTTTTTTTTGACTAATCTCCCGTTGCTGGAAATGCTGCATCGAAGCTCCCCGCTCGAGCGGACGACTCGAGTCAAGGTCTTTTATTTTTAGCCTCTTAATTTAGGGCCGGACCGGGTTAATAAAAATCAAAACCCGCAGATGGAAAGGTGATAAAATCCAGAAACCGGTGAGCCAGGAGCTCCGTGCCAGGAGAATAAGAAGCTCCTAGGTCATTTCTTTCTGGAAATATCTAGAGCTGGGCCACCTGCAAGGTCTTGCCTTGCCCTGCGGCTCTTGCGGAAGAGACTTTAGATCCAGCAGGTGGAAAACTCGACCTGTAGGATGTAAAGCGTGTGGGACGAAGCCTTGGAACGCCCAAGGCGGCGATGATCCCTGGAAATGTCCAAAAAACGTGTCGCTGGGGCACTTCAGGATAAAATTTAGTGGTCGTGGTAGAGTTGGGTTGACGGTTGGACCAGGAGCTCACATTTTACGAGCCAAACGCAATTTTCCAGTCCGACACGCGTCTCGTTTTCAGAGCTGCATCAACCAACCGTTTCTTCCCATCTATTTTCCTTTTTTTTTGTTAAACCTCTAGACAAAGCCTCCAGCTTGCCTTTGGGAAGCCGACATGCCTCAACGGGGTTACAAATAACGCTTTGCGAGCCAAACTCCTTTTAAAATGTGCTTTTTTGGTGTTTTTTTGGTTTGTTTTTTTAAAGGGAACGGGCGGTCAACACCTCGCAATCCGGGACGCTTCAACTCACCGTGGGCAACCTGAAACCGGAGGAGACTTACACCTTCCGCGTGGTGGCTTACAACGAGTGGGGACCGGGAGAGAGCTCGCAGCCCGTCAAGGTGGCCACGCAGCCGGAGCGTGAGTGTTTTGTGACATAATAGCATAAATATCAAAAATGAGAGCGCAAACTCGAGCGAAAGCTACGCCAGGGGTTGCTTTTGCCTCAGGAAACACGATGAACTTCCCAAAACTTCCCACCCGAGCGACCGTTTCGGCTTATTACCGGTGAAAAGCGACCGTTTTCTGGTCGTTACGCGTTATTTATAAATCTTTGGGGCGAGTGGAACCTTCTTTTTATGTCTTGAAGGCGTCAGAGCTCCAGAAAGGAGAGAATTTCCTTCAAGTTGAGGTTGTCCTCTTGTGGTTTTTCTCGCTTGGGAGGCCCAGGAAGGGCTGTTCCAGGGAGAGGGTGGCAGCTTTATTGGAGCTCTTTAAGGCCAAATGAATTACTCGCGAAAAAAATAGATTTAGTGTCTGGTTCTTAGCATGGAGGTGCCCGAGGGGGGAAATCTCATCCTTAACGGAAGCCCAGAAACTCTTTTACGCCGTCACGCGTTGCCACGTGCAGAAATTGAGCCGAAAGGCGAGATTTGCTCGAAACCCTTTGGTTTTACAAAGGTAACAGCAAAATAATTCTTGGAAGTCAGCTTGTGAACCCTGAGACTTTTCAAAATAAGGAATTAAGGAACTTCAACTCCGCGTCCTTTATCTGTCGGTAATTTATCGCTGCTTAGACGTGCGCGTACACGTATCCGTTTGCGTTTGTATTTTTTTTATATCTAATTTATTTATTTAGTTAGAGAAATAAAATAACATTTCCCTCAGGAAAAAGCCTCCCCCTGCCATCACTGTTGGACGCATCGAGTTACCAGCTCCGTGTACCGTAGACCTTTGGAATATTTCTTCTATTTAATAAATATCTCTTCTATTTAATAACTCCAGGCTTTCTCTTCAAGTGTCAAGCTCGAAGCGCAGAGTAAAAAATATTGCTTTCCCTTTTTTCTTTCTTCCCCTTGACCAAATTATCTTATCATTTGGAAACAAGTCTCTCCGGCCCTGGGAGGCAGTCGGCATCGCCGCCGCCGTCTTTTACACGCTGTAACTGTTGTACAATAAATTACCCCGGCTGCACAGGAATTGGATTTCCACGTTATTTGAAAATATCGGGAGCGTTACGCAACCTGGCATTGTTGAAGAAGAAAAAGCTGATGAAAAAGGACATCTGAAATGCAGGTCTGTCAGGGCCTGTTTGGAAAAGTGCCCGCGTTCCGCCCGGTAATCAGTTTAAAAGATCAGCGGAACAAGTTGCAGCTTTTTTGAAATAATCATCCCGAATGTATGGGCTGGATTTATACGAAGGTTTTTGTCCCCAGATTAACAAACCCCTCCTTCTCCTTTTTTTTTTATTATTTTTTCCTAAACGCCAACCCCTTTATGCTATATAATTTCACGACGGTATTATCGGCCCGGATTTAAATCCCTGCCTGCTTAAGCCGTGTCTAATCTTTTCATGCCACATGTGGAGACTTTGCGAGTGATTATTTTGCCTCCTCAAGATGCTGTTGGAGCAGCTCGGGAGCAGAGGATGAAGCAGCGCAGCCTCTTCTCTGGCGCGGCCCCAGCCTCTTCTCTCGCCACGAGGATTGAAATCGTCCCTCCCGGCTTCCTTCTCGCTTCTTTTCTTACGAATTAAAACCGGATTCTTCATAAATCCGCATCTCCTTGATGGGTCTATTAGTCAGGGAGAGAGAAGAAGAAGGAGAAGCAGCAGCTCGATGGTGTCGCGATGTCACCTCTCCTCCGCGTGCGTCGACGTCTCGACTTCTACATCTTTTAAGGGTTTATAAAGAATAATTAATTATCCTTCCCAAGCAGGGCAGAGTTACTACACCTACTTAAGAGCAGCCCAGCTGCATGCCCATATGTCTCCCCCGAGGAGCAAATCTTGGACCCCCCGGAGGTTATTACCCTGAAAAAGGAAATTGGGAAGCAAATCTAGAGATTTGGGGGGGGATCAGCAAGATCCGTACCCTCCTAGATGTCAGGAATTTCGATTCTCTCATCTTAACCTCAGTCCTTTGGTCATTTCTTATTTTTATCACTGGATTTTCTTGCTGGGACAACCAGCAGCAAAACCCACCATGGATACCACATTAAAGCAATCGCACCAGAAGCTATTGAAGTTTTTAGGGTTGTTTTTTTGTTGTTTTACTACGAGTTTTTCAGCAGAGACGATATTCCTCGAAGCCGTTGCACGGGAACCGTTAAAAAGACACAAGCGACGTTTCACCCGCGCTCTCTTTCGCCGGACGTCCCTTCCGCAAACGTCAAAATAGAGTCGAAAGTTGAACTCAGCGCCAGGGAATCTCACATGAAACAGCACGAGAAGGCAGGGATGTCTTCAAAACCCACAATTTGATGGAGCAATCATCAGTTCTGAGGTCTCTTCCAACCTACTCCCTTCCTTTTCCTCTCTCCTTACACCCGGCTCTGTCAAACCATCTCCTCCGGGGCAGGGATTTCCCTTTTGGGGATAGATCAAGAATTTAATCGGTTTTAACAGAGCTCCTGAGACCTGGGGACGTGACCCTCCTGCTCTCCATCCCTCAGGTCCCAACAAACTTGGGAAAGGAGAAAAAGCCACGCCTCCGCAGGGAATTTCCTCTCGTCGCTCAACGGAAGGGTGAGATGAGAGACGCGTTCCGTGGAGTCATTAATATCCTCCTCGTTTGCGGAATGGCTCGGTGAAATGCACCCTGGGGTAGCTTTATGCCGTTCTCGCACGCCTCTTTAATTTTATGAGGAATTTCCGTGGCGCGAGGGAGCTTTGCGGCTGCTTGGAATTTTAACGGGACGCATCTTCCTTTCCCAATGTTGGGCCGACCTGAAAGGAAAAAGCCGGTTCTGTTTGCAATTCCTGCTTTTTGCTTCCCATCCACTTTTTTTTTTTCTTTTAGGGGCTTTTTTTGGACTTTTTCTGGAAGGAAAACTTCCCTTTGCGCTTCAGGAGCAGGATGAGGTCTCGCTCTAGCCTGGAACAATATTATTCATTCAACCAGTAGGCAGAACTGCTGAAACTCTGGCACCAAAATCAATGCAAGAAATTTAAAACTGACTTGAAAAAAGAGCTGTTTTGCTTTAAATATGTCAGTACTGGATGTTTTGGCTTTGCTTTTGCTTTTTCTTGCCAAGCGAAAACCGTCACTTTTTTTTTTTTTTTTAATTATTTTCATTTTCCCCCAAATGTTTTGATGTCTGGAAAGACCTTGTTTACCGGAAATAATCTGCTTCAGCGCGAATATTCCAGACGCTCTAAATGAAAGAAGGGGTTTTCAATTCCTGAGCTTTGACGGCGCTCGCCTCGTAACGCTTCGACATGAAGAATTCAGTGCTCGTCGCCTCATCGTCGCTTTTTCAGAAATACTTTGCTTTGACTGACTCACCAAGAAGGAGCAGAAAATTAAAGCCACTTTTATCTAGACAAAAAAAAAAAAAGATGTGGAGCAGGTGAGCCTGTTTTAATCAACTATGCAAATCGAGGCGGCGCGCCACTTGCATGAAATCTCCATATTTATCAGGCCCCCACGCGAAGAGGGATGTGGTTTAGCCGCACTTTCCTTCCTAGCCCAGAAATGTGTCCCTACAAAGAGGTGAGATAAAGAATGGGTAGGAAATCTATCATTGTGCCATTTTGCAGGAAGGAAATTGAAACGTAAAAGCATTGAATTATTTATCTAAGCTCCCTCTGGAAGTCCAGGATGGCCGTAACCTGTCGTTCCGGACGCTTTTCCTCTGAAAAAAAGGTTGAATTTCTTGTGAAGCCAACAAGAGTTGCTTTTTAGTTCCATCTCACCTAAGTGCTCTGCTGTTGGAAAGGTTTTCCTCTCGTTTTCCAGAACGCCAGGCGTGTTTGGGCACCCAGAAGCAAATGGATCTTGGAACAAAAGCTCGTTTTCCAAATGAATTTATCTTGCTGACAGCAGACTGTTTCTTCACCGGTGGAATTATTTTGCTGCGGGTGTTTGCGCTCCGTATTTGCTTTCAAGTAGCTTAGTGAATTCTTAACAAATATTGATTCCGAGAGAGATTTTTCTCTATTGCAGTAGACTCTTTCCTTCTCCTCCTGCAATCTCGTGACTTTCCTGCCACAAATACGAAAGATCATCGTAGGAAACGGTTGAAATCGTCGTCCTCTTTCTGAGTCGAGTAGCAGGGCCGACAGGTTGGTCCCCGAAATCGGGGTTGTCCCAGAAACTGCGTTAGTCCCACGAGCGTGGGAGGGAAAATGCCGGGTGCTGAAGTTTTAGAAGTTTCTTGATTCGCGAAGGGCCCGTATGGTCATCGAGCTGCTTCTCGTGCCGCTGTTTTACCCGGTTTTGGCCAAGGATTTATTCGGTAGGAACAGAACAGGCTCTTTGAGATGGAAGAGACTTAGAATTAGAGAATCCGTTGGGTTGGAAGAGACCTTTAAAGGTCGTTTAGTCCAACATCTTCGACTCGATCAGGTTGCTCAGAGCCTCATCAAACCTTGAATATCTCCAGGGATGGAGCCTCCACCACCTCTCCGGGCAACCTGTTTCAATATTTCCTCACCCTCCCCGTAAAGAATTTCTTCAGCTGTTGAAACAGAGAGCAAAACGTAATAACGGGAGCCTTTGAATCGTTGCACGTCGTTCTGGAGAGGAACGCATCCCTCGGATGAGAGGTTTTGGAAAAAGCGTTGCGATGGAGATGTCGCGGAGCCGGAGACCACGGGAGCCTAACTCAGAATTCGCATGTTGTCTTCCTTTCCCCCCCAAAAAAATTGGGGATAAGTGGTTGTGCCTTCTGAAAACCTTCTGTCCTGAGGAAGTTTAATGCTGTCTTCCACCAGAAAGGATCCAAAGCGTGGACGCCGAGTATCGCGGCTGTTAGGTAGGAGGTTGCGTTGGATGACGGGCGGCAAAAATCAAGACCAGAAGGAGAGAGAAAAGAATAAGGACCGTAATCCTTTGGGCGTTCTTCAGCTTCAAGGTGGCGTTGAGGGCTCTACCTTCGTGTCCGAAGGCTTCTGTGCTCGTGGGGTAACGAGCTGGGGGAGTTTGGGTGCTCCTCTCCCTGGTAGGTTGGCCCCGGGTGCGGAAAGCAGAGTTTCAGAACCTGATGGAGAACGTCAGGTTTGAGAGAGAGGATTTAGGGTGTTTAGACAGTTGCCAAGCGACATTTTTGACGTCGTCGCCTCCGTTCCTATTTTAGGCGCTGGCATTATTCTCGCTTCTTATTAACTATTCTTATAAGAAGTTTACCTGAACAACGGCGAAGAGCAGATCTCGGTAGGAGGGCGGGAAAGCCTCCGTGAGAGCAGCTGTTGCGTTCCGGCGGGTTTCGAGGGGCGCTTGGCTACGTGGACGCGTGGTTGGATGCGACTGAAGAATGAGCAGGGTCAGAAGCAGAGTCTCTCAGTGAGGAAATTCTTTCGCTGGCGGAGATGCCTGCTCTTTTCTGCTTGATCCTGCTCTTTTCTGCTCCCTCCTGCTCTTTTCTGCTCCATCCTGCTCCCTCCTGCTCCTCCAACAGATCAATCTTGCCGGGTTTACTACCGGTCTTAAAGCCACCAGGTCTACCCAGCAGCTGTTCTCCAAGCTAGGAGCTCCTTCAGGTCTCCCCACCCCAAAATCAAACCGCGTAGACTTGACTCGCACCCTGGAGATACAAAAATGATCCTCCTGGTCCCTTCCAACCTGATGTTTTAAGTTTCTGAGGGGTGTTTCACCTGCCAGAGCTTCCCACCTTGTCCCACGTGTGGTTCGTTGGCAGCCAGGATGGGACATGGCTCTATCTGCCCTCTTCTCCTTGATCTTTTTTTCTAGAAATACCATAAAAGCCCGAAACACGATTTAACGTCTTATTTTAATGGAATGTAAAGCAGTTCGAGGCTCTTGCTGCCGTTTCAGAAAAAAGAAGAGTTTAGGAAAAGATTTAAAACTTAATGCCAATTTCCACGATGATTATTTGACAGAGGGGATCAGGAGAGATTATTAAATGCTTTGTGCGCGCTGAAAAATACCGAGACCTTAAGCACATTAGAGTGCCTGTCGGAAATATTGAAAGGGAATGAAAAGAAAGCCGGGTGACAGAAATAATAATAATAAAAAAAAATCTTTGTTCAATGTATCTAAAGCTGAAATGACTTGTGATCCAAGGCTGTTCGCGTTGGGTTGGTGAAGTGTTTCTCCGACGCCTTCCGAGAGGGACGGATCCAGGGAGCAGCGGGGTCGGGGCACTTGCCACTCACCGCACGCCTCCGGAGTTACAACAGCGCGTAACGGGGACGTAATCACGCAGGAAGGCTGTTGGAGGAGCTGTAATTCTGGTCACGGTAGCTTTAATAGACGACTGAAGCTGACATCCAGGAATGAAGTTGATGGCCAATAACTTGCAGAAAGGGATAATAATCTGAGAAGGGGATTTTCACGCCGTTCTTTTTTCTCTTTCTGTTCAGTGCAAGTTCCCGGGCCGGTGGAAAACTTCCGGGCTGTGTCGACCTCGCCTACGTCAATCCTCGTGTCCTGGGATCCCCCGGCCTACGCCAACGGCCCCGTTCAGGGCTACAGGCTCTTCTGTACGGAGACGGCGACTGGGAGAGAGCAGGTGAGCTCTAAAGTGAAAAATTTGATGGACAGATCCTCTTTGCTAGGTAGGTGTAGCGTAGACAGACCAGCGATAAAAGAGCGAATCGAGCCAGATAGATTTCCACGGGGACGAACTGGGTTCAGGAGGTAGAAGGAGGCAGCCTGTTGTACATTAGCCGTTCGTCAGCCTTACGCTGAGATTTCAGAATCGTGCCCAAGAGCCCTTAAAGGCCCTTTACGCTCTCCCTTGGCGTGCAAAACCCTAAGCGTGGCAAGATCGTTGTAGAATATGTGAGTTTCGTTGCTTCTCCTCGCTTTTTCAAGAAGGGAGAGTAAAATAATACAAATCTAGGCTAGAAACGATACGGTTTCGCTCCAGGCTGCTGGATGCTTAGAGTAAAAATTGCAGTCTGAGATCCTACCTCAGAGTGGTAGGTGAGCACCTTTCCTTTCTGCGGGTTGCAGACAGCTCCCAAACTTCCCGCTGGCCATTACAAAGTGGCCTTTGCTAGAGGTGCAGCTGAGCTCTGTGGGCACACTGCTCCTTGAAGAGGATATTTTTCCACAAAGACCAAGGCAGGAGAGAAAGCGGAGGCGTCGTTTCTCTGACCCAAGAGCAAGCGATAATCGCAGGCGTCAGCAGTCGTGTGGCAGCTGCTTCAGTAGCCTTACGGGAGCTTTTCTACCCGTTTTTCTCTTTTCGCTTTATTTGGCTTGCTGCTTCTCTCCAAAACTGCCCTTTGACTCTTGGCCTTTATTTTCTTCTCTCCTTTGTTTTGGCTTAACGAAAAGAAAAGGAAAAAAAACCACTTTGTCTCCTTCATCTCAAGTAACTAAACCCAACACTGAGGTGCTGAAATCTCTGTCCCGCAGCCGAGGGCAGGAACGGTGAAGTCGCTGTTACGAATCGCTTTTTCTAGCGACTTCCAGAAGGCTTTGAGCTCAACTCACCGTTTTTCCTCTCTGTGTGCTTAGAACGTGGAAGTGGATGGGCTCTCGTACCGCCTGGAGGGCCTCAAAAAATTCACCGAGTACACCCTGCGCTTCCTCGCCTACAACCGCTACGGCCCCGGCGTCTCCACCGAGGACGTGACGGTCACGACGCTTTCAGACGGTGAGTGGGCGCGGGACGAGGGGGTCACATTCCTCGGACGAGGCTTTTTCTGCGGCTGCCGTTTCTCGGAAGAAGCAGCGACGGAGCGAGGAGGTTATTGAACAGGCGGGGCAGAAATTAGGTTCAGCACCTGCTGGTGCCGGTTCATTATTCTAGTGGAAAGGGTTTTCTGCTTCTCTGTTTTCTTTTTAACTTCAGGGATATCTTTGCACGGCCGCTGTTTTATTCCAGCTCCGTTTGAAGAGCCCAGCTGCCTGGCTTTGTCCTTTAAACACGGCAGATGTGCCAGGGCTTCAGTCTCTGCTCCTGTGGCTCGCAGGCTCCGGGAGAGAAATTGCATTTTATTTCACGTTCAGAAGCTCTTTAGTCATGTCTGATATCCCAAAAACTCCTCTTGAAGTCGCTGAGCCCGATGCCCACGCCTGGCTTAAAACAGAAATGACTTCGTTGAGGTCTTTTGGGTTACAAAAGCATCAAAACCGTAAAAAATTCTTCCAGCCAGGTTGCTGAGAGTTTGTAAAGCAGAAGCCGGACCAGAGACAGGCTCCAGAGGCTTCAGGGATGTGCCAGCTCCTGCCTGAGCCTCACAGAAGGACTTTTTCTGTAGCAACATTTTTGTTTCAAATGGAATTTGTAAATTAATTTCCTTTTTGGATCTGTCTCGGTGGGGAGATCTGTATCTTCTGGCTGGATCCTCAGTGGGATTCATCCACAAGACCCATTTGCTCCGTTCCTGTTCATTGGGACTCCTCCCTAGTGGGTTTTTTTCAAGTGTTACTTACGTCCCCCGAAAATGTAGTTTTTTCCCTTGCAACACAAGCCAGGTCTTGATGGAATAAATTACTTTGCACTTATAATTATCAAAACAAAAGGAAAACAAAGTAAAAATGAGTATTTTGCATAATGTATGTAGATTTCATGCACGCTGTGGAGCGGGGGAGCGCGGCCCATTTACTCCCCTTTGGTTTTAAATGTCACCGTAACTGAGAAACGGAAAGATCGTTATTCACAAGTCTGAAAATTATCCTCGGGAAGTGCTTCACCTGTCTGGGAGCTAAAATCAGCCTGAGGTTTACCTGAGCCTATTCCAGAAAACAAGAGTGTGCGTAGATCCTCTAATTTGAGGACTCTGGGGGAAAAAAAATGGGAGATGGAGTGAGTTCCCCCCCAAAAATTCTCCAGTGCTGTGGGTAAGGATTTGAGGGTTTGCCTGGGAGCTCTGTCGATCGTTAATCAGGGGCTCTGATGTTCTAACGCAAAACTCAGAAGGCTGTGGAAGCGATGGAGTTCGCCGCCGCGATTCCGTTTCTCGTTTGGATCGAAGACGGGGAAGAAAAGAGGAGGAGGGCGTCAACTGTGTTTGTGGACGCAAGGAAATGGAGGCATTTCTTTGATTATTTTGATTATTTCTCTCCGTTGGCCGGAGAGAAATAATCAAAGTTGTAGAAAGACAAGCAAATAAAAACCAAAACCAAAGGAAAAATGAAGAGAAGTTTGCCTGGTAGGGGAATACTATGTAGTAGCAATAAAACTTGAGAGGCAGAAGGAAAGATTTAACACAACAAATAAAGAATAGTCCCTGCCCTGGAGAAATCACCCGGTTTCTAAAGCTGCCGCTGCCCACGCTCCTCAACAGCGATTTCCAGGGAGGACTGAAGAAAGTGAAGAGAAAAGCTGGGCTGGATTTCTAGCGTAGGTGGATTCCAGCTCTACCTCTTCAATGATTCTCTGCGGCCGGAAATCCTTTCGCTGGCGCGTGCTGCCAAAAGGGAATAATCTGCTGCGCTTGTTTAAATAAAAGGAATTTTTCTGAGCGCTGCTTTGGGTCTCAGATCTTTGCTGCAAAATAAAATGATTTATCAGAACGTTGTATAAAATTAGATACGGATTATGTTTGTATGATAAACCAGAGCCTTAATGTGAAAACTTGGGGATTAATACCTAAAGATAGAGATGTTTGGTTGGTTTGGTTTTGTTTTTTGTCCCTTGTGCCACCGTGAGAGGAATCCCCTGCTCTGTCTGGGTGTAAAAGAAATGTTCCAAACTGCTCTTCAGTACAGAAAAGCCAGAGAAATCGTGGCACGTTCTTTATTTCTGACCGAGTGTAGAACAAATAAGGGAATTCCAGTAGCCGGTCTCGCTGCGGGGAGCTGCTGCCTGGCTCTTTCCAGAGCTTGCTAATAGGTCCGTCCAAAAATGAGAAGAAGTGAACAGATGCAGTTGGTTTTCCTCTCCCTGGGGGACCTCTCAAGTGCCTGGTTGGGCTCCGCTTCTAAACCAGGTGTAAAAGCCGCGCTCTTGTCTTTGCGACGAGAGAAATATTCGACGTAGCCTCTGCTTAGACGCCGACGGTGAAATTTCTCATTTATGGGATTTTTTTTCTTTTCAGTGCCCAGCGCGATGCCTCAGAACGTCTCCTTGGAAGTGGTGAACTCCAGGGTAAGTCGGCCGCGGCCTCGACACCTCGTGGCTGATATTCCTGTAGGTATTTCTACTTTGTGTACGTGTACGTGCAGGTAGGTCGCTGAGGAGAATATTAGCTTGACAGTTGGGCTAGATGCTCTTAGAAATCTTTCCAAACCTTAAAAATTCACTGATCTTACGATAAACTGTGGTTCAGGGACCATTTATTTAATCGCTGATTTGCTGTGAAACCTCAGTGTCGCAGTTGGACCTTTCTCTTCTCCTCCTCGTTTTCCTGACATCAAATTTAAGTTATTAGTTATATCTTTTCATGCACCCGGTTCCCTTGAAATTCCTCTTCTGCCGAGTGCCCAAAGGGCATCGATGTCTGAGCACATCTCGCTCCAAATCACTTTTTCGTGCTTATTCTCAAGCTCAGACATCACGGAGAGATTCATCGCGTTCCGTAACCTTTTGTGGGCGATTCTTTGCGCCTAAAACGAGAAGGACCTGCGGGGACCAGCTCCTCATGGGATGTTTTCTCGAAGTTTTGTGGCTGAGACGGTTCATGCTGATGGGGTGAAAGAGGATGGGTTGGGTGTAAATCTCATCAGAGCCTTTCTCTCTGCTTTAATAAGATTTCTCCCTTTGTGCTATTTTTCTTTGACGCTGGCAGCTCTATTAATTTAATACCTCAACAGAGATGGCCGGGCGAATGGGAGATGCTCGGTTTGAATGACTATTATCATGATTATTGCTTAATATTGATGGCGTTCCGCGACCGGAGAGCTTGTTCCGATCAGGACTGATAACGGGGAGGACTGTGACAGAAATAATTTCCCTGCCTGAAAGAGGTTTTGCCCGAAAATGCTTCACGGAAGGGGCTGAGACAAGCAAGGGGGCTTGCGTCGACTTGGAATTAGGTGATTTATAAGAAATGAACAATTTCTTTCTGATTCGGGCTCAAAAATATCCCACGTTGCCGATTCGAATTGTATTTCTTCTTCCCATTTGAAAATGCAGAGAAGAAAATGAAGGAATAATCGAAGGTAGCCGTAGAGAATTCCATCTTAGGGATGTGGACCTGGGTGAACAGTTGGACTCGATGATTTTCAGGGTGTTTTACAACCTAAACGATTCTCCAGGTTTAGATTTAGTAGCAATTTAATCCCAGAATCTCTTCCACTTCAGTGACGAGGGATCGCGTCCCAGTAAGATTTTTCACAGGCTCTGAGAATAAAACGTTCTCCTGGGGAAAGTTAAAAGCCGCATAATGAATCTGTTTGATGGTTTTTTTGGTCATTTCTTCTGTGTATCTGTACCGCAAAAAACCTTGGCAGTCATTACGCCCCGTAGTGCTTGCTGCAAGCCGAAGCTTGTGCTGTTTATTTTATTTAAAAATACCTCTGAATAAACCGCAGGAAGAGTTACTTTAATGGTTAGTTCACATTATTAACAAAATGGGAGGGTTTGAGCGGATTTAACAAAGGAGAAGGTGGCTTTTGCTAGCAAGAGCTGTGGCTGGTGGGCTAGAGTTCTTCTTTCTGGGAAGAATTATGGTGTTTAATCAAAATGAAAACGTTAAATAAGTTTCTCCTCCTCCCCCTCCACGATTTTAATCCCCGCGTCGACTCCTTGAGACGCTCCGTGACGGCGCGCGGGAGCCACGTGTTGCCGCTGCGTCGAAACACCCCACAAACCTAATAATATAATTCCTTATGATAATAATTTAATTCACCGGCGAATGTTTGGAAAGCACCGTGGGTATCGAAGCTCTGGGCTGGACGGAGATGTCGCGCCTGTAGGAGATGAGCGGTGGACTCGAGATTGCAATTGGATTCCTCGCAAAGGAATCGATGTGAGAGGAGTCGTCGGAAAGAAGCAAAAAGTGAAATCCCAGTTGCTGTCACCGCTGTTTAGAGACGTGTCCTCTAGAAACAACGTAGGTAACCTTTAAATGGATTACCCCAGAGAGAGAGCTCTTTAACCTTTAAATCTTACGTCTAAGAAAGGATAGAAACAAACGTTCGGTTTAACCTTTAAAAGGAGAAAATTGCTGAAACCTGGAGACGGTCTCCTCAGATCCCTGAGGCCAAAACTGTTTGGGGGGTCGAGAAAAGCTTCCCTTGAACTCCAGTCGTGCCGTAACGAGGAAAACACAATAACTGCGCCTTTCAGAGCTCGTCGCAGAGAACTTTTTGTCTTGCGCTTCAATATTGTGCCCGTCCAACGCTAAAACCTCAAAGGTGAGGGTGTCAGAAACCAGATGGGCTCGTTATGGTCCGAGATTTGATTAAACCGTGGTCGAGGTGATGAACCCTCTGTCCGCCTTCCCGTTTAAAATAAATTTAGAGGTGCTATTAAGCCACTTAATGTGCCCAAGCAGAGAGTAGGAGCTCCGGGCGGTTATTTCTTCACGATAAAGACTCGGAGTCGCTTCTCCGCAGCGAGAGGTTTCCCCCGATAAAGCAAATTAATGAGCTAGGACGCTGATTAGTAGAGCTCTGGGTATCGAAGAGAGAAGGAGCGAAAAGGCAAGGAGAAGGACAAGGTCAGGAGGAAGGAGATGCTGAGATAAACGCGAGATCTTATTTTCCACGCGCGGGATAACGGGATTTCGTTGGAAATAACCAAACGAGCCGGCTCGACGTGCCGATACGCCCACTATTATTTCGGTGATTCTTTACGCTTCCTCGCTTGGAATCTTTTCCTGTGCTCCGGGAGGAGGCCGATTCGATACAGTCCGTGTCTTGCCAAAGCGTAGATTTTATGGGTTTATATTTTAATTTGGCTTAAACGTGGTCGAGTCATGGTAGCAAGAAAGCTCGGTATATTAGAATAAAAAATAAGCCAAAGAACAGACTTCCCTCCTAGAGTCGAAAGTAAGTTTCTGGATATTTTTTTAAAAAATAAGTAATAATTCTCTCCCATTTCTCATCATCATAAAATCCTCCGAGCTCAGCTGGTCGTTGCCTGGGCTGGAAAAGAGGAGGAGGAAAAACACCCAGAAAATAGAGGTTTTTTCCTGATTCAGGTGTTCTAATATTTACTTTAGCTCCCTTTAAGAGCTCCTTATCCTTTTGCAATTAAGCTGACAAAATAATTGATCATCACAACAAGCAAAGCGGCGCGAATCGGTTCCTAAATTTATTTCTCCTTAATTGGATGTGTAGCGGTAAACAGTTTATTTGGTTATAAATGCGTTCCTCGAAAATTGCTGGCGTAGCTTGAGTCCTGATGAGCACGACGTCAGTTTTGGGGTCGGACAAAGTGACTGCAGAAATTTTCTTTATATATATATAAAAAGAAGCGATGATTTTAGTTGAGAACTGGTAGGTCTGGGTTTTAATCCCCGCTGATTTCGGAGGAAAAGATTTAATTCTCAGTGTTAGTGGCTGACTGAGATTATTTCCGTCGGGCTAGAGGGTTGCGTCGAAGGGAATCTTGAGCAAATCTGGGTTTTTTTGAATTTTGGAGTGAACAACCAACTTTTCCTCATGCGTGAAGGCTTGAAGAACGCGGTGACCTGGCGCTAGTGGTTGGACTCGGTGATCTCTCTTCCAGCCAAAGATATTTTGTGATTCTGTGACGAATTTCTCGCTGTAAATAATCCACTTGTCTCTGAGGCTGCTTCGCCCTTGATTTAATTTTTTCGTCGCGTTGTTATTTAACAACTCCGCTCTCTGATGCCTTTTCTCTAATCGGTTTGACTGGGCAACATCTGGCAATTGAAAGGAGAAAAAGTTGTAAAATGAGACGTAACGCTACTACGAAGCAACCTCCTCTTTCCGAAATAAATTTTCATCTCCCGCTAGAACAGAGCGGTGACATTTTTTAACGCTGAGCTCGCCCCTGGGGCTCCGTGCTCGTTGACAGGCGGTCCCAGTCTGCAGTTGTTTTTATTCTAATTCTGCGTGTTTATTCTACTTTTGAAGGTTCTCTGAGCTGCCTGTTGTTCAGCAACCACCGCCCCGAGAGGTCTTGAGCAGGTTTTTAGCGTCGAATATCAGCAGAGCTTGGGAGCCTGACGCTTCCCCGGCGCCGCCGATATTATTCTCTGCTCGCTCAATCGCTGTGACCAAGAAGGCATCCTCCTTTTTTTAAAAAGGGAGGATGCCTTCACAGAAATTAATGTGCTTTTTAATAATCTCTTATATATTTATACAGATTTCTTTGGCTAAAATCCGTTGGGTACAATTGGTGCCCTTGAATGACCTTATTTTTAAAAAAAAAAAAAAAAAGCAAGAGTCTCTTATTCAATGTGACTGAAATTCCTGGAATCTTCTAAAATGATTGTTCACGGGAAACCTTTCGATTTCCTTCTGCAGTCGAGGGACGGGCTGGTCCCTGGAGCGACCCCGTTCCCTCTCTTGCAGCGGGTCAGGCCGCCGGAGCGCGGGCTTTGGCGGAAGAAGACGCGATGTAGGGGAGATTTTCCACAGTATAAAACAATTCTGGAGGTATCTCCGTGTATAGTGGAGCGGGGCGGCGGTTGAGTAGCTTGGAGGGGGCTGATTTTTAAGGCAGAGCATGAAAAACTTTTTGGATTTGCTTCCTTAGCCCAAAACTGCCGCATCTCTTGCAGATAAATGAATTTAAGAATGAGTTACGCAGTTTGACCGTCTGATTTTTTCATCCCTGCCCTTGATTTTTATACCTTAAGCCTTTTAGATGTGTCCATGGGAGTTGCCACCTTCATTTTCTTGGGTTGAGAGCTTTCATTTTCAATATTTTTATATAGATATATGTGTGTGGTTGCAATTGCCACCAGCCAGGTTGAGTTGTCCGTGAAGATTTCTATGTTGGGTGGGAACGACGAGGGCGCATCCCCAGCGCCAACGCAGAATCTTCGTGCAGGAGGAAATGACGCGTCTTATTTTTTAACTGGAAGAAAGTCACATTTTCTCTCTTTCGGCGTTGAAGTTCCTAATTGCAGTTCTCCAGAGGGATTCAACCTGAGGCTGTTGCCTTCGCCAAGTCCTGAAGGTAATTCAGTCCTACAGGTTTCACCCGCTACAAAATTCCCCGTCGCCAAG